TTTCCTCCAGGCCAGCACGAGCAGGCAACTCTCCCTTTCTCTCTAATAGTCTCTCTCGGTCTCTCACCCTCCTAATAAGAATCAATATCGGCTCTCTTAAAAGTCATCAAGCACAGAGGTAAAAAGGCTCAAGAGCATGAAATTGCAGATGGGAGAGAGGGTACTTATGCAACACTAGGCTGCCATACAGGCCTCGAATGGGTAGAGCCATTGAAGGCATACAGTAAAGAGAGAGAGAGAGAGAGAGAGAGAGAGAGAGAGAAAATGACTATTAGAGTGAGAATGTGCATGAGAGAAAAAGGGAAAAAAGGCAAAGAGCAGAAGCAGAGAGGAAAAAATAAGCTATGGTGAAAGAGAAAGGGTCAGACAGAGACAGTATCTCATGCCGCAGAGATGTAACTCTGGAAGGTTTTGTTTTCTTTTTTTCTTCTCATGGACACGCGCGTCAAACAGCGCTGCTACGGAAACCTTATCATGTCGACGGCTTATCTCCTATTTTCACCTCCTCGAAGCAATAAACACACACAGAGCAAGTGGAAGATGGGAAATGCACAACAACAAAGAGTTGACTCTTTGGGATCAACGGCACTACAGCACTCTCTCTGTTTTCATTACTACATACTGTCCTGGAAGCCAGGTGAGACCGCTGATGGAGCTATGGATTATCCTGCATGGATGGGATGCAGAGTCTGAAGCATGAAGGACACAGCTCGTGTCAGCCAAGGCAAAGGCATATTACAACAGAGAGCCGACCTCAAGGACTCAAGTAGATTAAAAGTGATTGAAATCCCATTTGTGGCGTTTGGGGTCCTTTATGTCAGCTATCTCGCTCGCTCTCTTTCAATGTCTCTAAAGTGAGCAGAGCCTGAGTCTGAATAAACAAATAAGATCGTGTTTGTGGAGACAGATTTCTCAGATTTGCATGGCAATAACATCAGATTTTGTAATATGAACAGCAATAAAGGTGTGTGTGCGTGGACGTGTGTCTCTTTTTTTGAGCAATGTGACAATATGGAAGGAAATGGTGAATCACAATGTGCAGTCCAAAAATAATGTGCAGTGCCTTTGTGTATCTGTGAGTTGGTGTATATGTTGTTATGTATATATATATGTATATATTGTCATGTACATCATCATCAGTCACTACTATTAGTGTAGTTGTTGCTACTGTTGTTGCTGTGCACCTGTCTGTCTGTCTGTCTGTCTGTCTGTCTGTCTGTCTGTCTGTCTGTCTGTCTGTCTCTCTTTCTGTAAGCAGCAAAAAATGAAAATACTCAAGTAAAAGTACCTTAAAATTCAACTTAAAGCAGCAACAAGGAACATGGATTTTTTTGTTGATTCTGGCGGCCCCTGTGAACAAAAGTGGTAGTGTTTCTGTCGCAACATTTCATTGATTTCGGGGGCAATCCGACCAAATCCGACCAGGTGGCAGGCATTAAGAATAAGTACATAAAAATAGCTGATCATATAGAGGCAGCAGTAATGAACTGAGACTGTTTCATAACCAGCTACAACTCCTTGTAGTGTAGTGCGTTTAAGTACAGTGGCTAAATTAACTTAGTATTATCTATAACTCTGTTTCTACAGAGCAAAACACAGAGGCAGATCAGCTTGCTTGTTAAGTTTAATACTTTTTAGTGCGTTCCATTCATAGTTGTAGTTGTGTGTGTGTGCACCATTAGCTAGCTATTGGTATTTCATCCATTTCATGCTTACTGGTTATGGAACAACAGCACAGGAAGAGGCTTTTGTTCCTCAAATTTATCCTTAAGACAGCTCTTCTCTGTCAGGGGAACAAAAGTCTCAGATTTGCACTTGATTGATTGAACATGATTTGATGCAAATTTTTTCAAGTATATAATGCAGATCCCCTTGCCAATAGGTGTGCATACGCTGTATAACTGCATATATGCATTACTACAGGTCTAATTATGGCATTAGAATATATACAGTGTCAAATATATAACTTTATTTAACCTTAAATATACACTCTTATTTCACAGTATATTTATTTCTCTCTTTATAGTGTTTGAAGCTGGACAGGAGGCCGATAGTAGTCCTGCTTACATTCACACCTATGATTGATCTATGTACAGTCGACTTATGTCTTTCAACTGTGGGAGTAAACAGTAACACTCATGGTAAACCTAGTCCACACAGGTCGAAATTCAATCCTAGCACTTCCTCGCTGACAGCAGCAGTGCAATAACCATCAAGCCCCTTATGCCCAACACTTGTTCTTAAGTTCAAAATTAATTATTAATTGGGAATGATTATAAGCAATTGCTGTAACTGCGTGTCAGATTTTGAGTTCCCTGTATTCTGTGATTATTTTGTAATTTAATGTTAAATAAAGGTGTACTTATAATCAATTAAAAGCAATTCAAAAATGTTCCAAGACTTCAGCCACAATATATAATGTATATGTAATTTACGATCACTCATAGTCGTGCAAACACAGTCTTCCCACTGGCTTTTTAAATAACTGCCGCTTTTCTATAAATATCTCAAAACCCTATATAAACAAAATACATCTGGTCTATGAGGTTGCCTGGTAGCAGTCTGCTAAAGGTTCTTAGCGTCCAAATTTTCATGGAGAAGGAGCATTTTGGTAATATACACCACACAACTAGGACAAACTTACAGAAGATATTAGACAAGCTTCGACTACATTTCGTTTCAGATTAAAAGCTTTTATTTTCGCCATCATCATTATTCATGTTTCACTTACACATGCACCTGTCTACTATCTATTTATCTGTTTTAATTTTTTAATTTCCTAAAAATGGTTAACATCTTGATTAGCATTTTAATGTTTTATGCTGCATCTTCTTTGTGGCAAGTACTTAAAGTTGCTTGTGTGTATGAAATGTACACAGATAAGCTTGCCTTGCCAAGTTTATGACAGCACTAGTACATTTTATTGTCATTATTTTATATATATACATCTCTAAATTGAAATAAGAACTGTAAAATGTAAAATGTCATTTTCTTTATTTATTTACTGCCACCCACCTGTGCAGGTCTCTCTAAAAAGTCAGCTGATAAGCCTAAGCTCTCTTCAGAGAAAGAGGGTATCTAGCCTACACGAAATGCCACAGTGCTCCATGGAGCCCAGGTTGTGACAAATACCTTCTGATATTATCGGGATACTGTGGATTTATGCAACATCCATACAACTTATTCACTGGCAAAGTCATTCTGCAGAGCAGGTGGGCATGTGGTCATGTCTACAGGATCAGATTTTTCTTTCTAGGACTCAGACGAAGCGCGCAAATCTCTGTGTGAAGCAGTTTAGCCAAAGGAAGAAATTGAATTTGGAGAAAGGTCAAATCTCCAGTGTCATGTTCATCTGTGCCTGCCACACAAATAGTTATAAGCCTCCGTCCTCTTACACATGGAGGAAAGCCTCCTCACATAATCAGCAGGTAAAACCAGTCACACAGCGCACTGAGGATAGGCAGCTCCTCCAAACGGAGACACAACTGTGAAGCCACAGCTGAATCACAGGCAAAAATAAGACATCCAAAGGTACAGTTCACTGCACTAACTAACAGAGCTGTTTATCTGCCTTCACCTGTGCACATACTCTCCCCTCCCTCATCAGGCCAGAGGCCACCTTGTGTGAGATAGAGGCTCGGTGACAGGCACACTGGGAGGCAGTGGGACGGCAATGAAGATGTCATGAAGAGATGTAAGAAAAGCCAGTCACACCATCGTTCAACCCCATCTGAAGATTCCTTGAAATTCATTGAGCTGTCATGGAAACTGAATGGTGACCACAGAAATGGCTTAAAGCTTCTTCCCCTTTAGATGTGAGGAAGCCACGGCAACCAACTAATAAGACTCCACTGGCTTACACGCCATTGTACACAAGGTACAACAGTATTATATATACATTTTTGAATTCTCGTTTCTCTCTTCATTGCTGTCCTGTGAAAACCATGTTGCTCCGAAACTGAAAGAATCACTGTCACAAAGCTGATGTAGCTGAGATAGATGGTTTTCACAGGACAGTGACAATATTTACACTTTATACCGTAAAAGAGATCTTTACAGACCTGTATTTAGACAGGTGTGTAGAATATGTAATGTATTCAATTACCAAAAATTCACTTTTTCAAAATTATTTTCAAATTATTATTATTAATTAGTGGGGAAGCTGATTTTTGCTATTGAAGACTCAAAGAAAGATTGATTAAGTGAATGTTAAAGTGTATTCTGAGAGTAAATGTGCATGGCAAATTATCATTTCAACATGAATTTGGCTTTATTTACTGCAAATCTTTACAATCATTCAGCAGATTAATTATTTTAGAAATTGTTCGGTCTATAAAATTTAATAAAAACCTTGTGAATAATAGGCCCAAGGTGATCATTTTAAGTTGCTTGTTTCAAAACCCAAAGGTACAGTATGTAAATTATGATCATAGACGGCTCAGAAAACAAGCAAATATTCACCTTTACGAGGATGGAAGCAGTAAGATTTTGGCATTTTAACTTCGACAAATGATGAATCGATTGTCAAAATTGTTCAAATTAATCTTCTGTCAATGATAATAATAACACTAACGCATCCAAACAGTGCTGAAACAGACACTATGCCAAAAATAGTGTCACTATTCCATGAACCATAAGCCCATCTGTTGGTGGGGGATTTAGAAACCCCCCCGCGGGCACTTTTTAAAAATGATTCAACTGTAAATTGATTTGTTACAGGCTTCACATCACAAAAACAGCCCTGTGATCCACTTTGCTCCACATTGTAGGTTTATCCACCTTAAGCCCCTATTTAAAAACCGCCACTGCCCTGTGATTCAACGCTTTGATATGGCAGAATTTTAAAATGGTCTTCATGCGCTTCAGCACCAACATGATTCAATGTAAAAGTCAGACATGCCTGAGGAAAAAGAATTGCTGATGGCTCACGTTTGACTGCTTTTCACTGAAGTGGCCCCTTACAGAAAGTAAGCTAAGCCGGGATCCCCCCTTTCTCTTACCGTCCACACAGGCAGGTCTGGCTCTTGTAGTTCCAGCGATCTGGCCCTTCTTACAGGCGCAGCGGGCCGTCTGCCTGGCGATGGTCCGCCGTGGTTGGCTGCTGTCCCTGTCCAGCGTCACAATCTCACATGTCCCCGCTGCCAGCTGGCCTGGAAATGACATTGCACCACAGAATGCGAGGTCAGAGAGATGAAATCATAAACAGGGCAAAATGAACTAGTCTGTCTCTTCTGTTAAATTTGGATTCTGTCACACGTTCAGGTTATTTTTCATAATCCTTTGTAGTTCAATTTGCTGGGCACGGCACAGACATGACCAAATTCAAAGGAGGGGGTTTCAGTGGAACCAGTAACACAAGTCTGTGTACTGTAGTTGTGCATGTATTTGGCTACAGCAAGTCTTAAACACATGGCACACAAACCAAAGTTTTTCAAAGGCAGTGAGTGCACCACAGGTCATGTAACAAGAATTAACCCATCTGCTCCACGGGACTTGCTGTACAAGGACGAAGCAACATGCATTTGAAAGGTCAGCCAAACTGAAGATCAGCTGATTATATTCGTCCTGGGATGCGTGGAGCTGTACGACCTGTCAAGTTAATTTAAGGTTTTTTTTTCGTTTCCACACACAAATTCGAGCAGTAAAGCTACTAGGAGCGATTTACGGTGCTGGAAATCCATACATCTTTGTTTGAGTTTTAATTAGTTCAGTTAGTTTAGTCAGTGAGGCTTACTGCTAAATTACCGCCACTACATCATCATTGTCATGCAACCCGCAGGTTTGGTTTCTTAGTAAAGGCAGACGCAACAGGAGCACAACCTCCTAAGCGCCTTGGATAAAAGGATGAAAGCTACCTGGCTGGCGTTTTCCATGTGTTTTTAGACTTTTCATTCTAATTTTTAATATATATATTATATAACAATTTAGACACAGCCTATCCATTTAAAGCAAACTAACATTTGCTGAGCAGCTACACTTCATCTCTCTTCATTTTTCAAGATTCCCTTGAGTCTGAAATGACTGAATTGTTTATCTGACATGCTAAAATGTGGTGTAACAGTAGAGTCATGAAGATTGCAAATTGGATCACATTATGACAAAAGATTCTGTAAGGTTTGACAGACCCTGAACAGTTCCAGTGGAACTGCTCAGAGGCCAACAGAGGAACACTGTGGTGGTACTGAACAGCTCGCAGATGTAGCTGCATGTGTGAAGAGCCTTTAGAAGAAAATGGTGAAGAAATTACTTTTAAATTTCAGCCACCTAAAGACTACCCACCAGCTATTTCCCATTAAGGGCCACATCCTATCAGCACACCTCTTTGAAGGTAATGTACCCATTAGCCATGAATGAAATGCATGAATACTGATGAACTTCGTAATTGCTGCCAAGTCCGCCCCCCCCACACCCCCCAATCTTATACACACACATCCTCCATGTATTCAATCAGGTGACCTTTGGCCTTGTAGCCGGGCCCTTGCTGCTCGCAAATTAACCTTTGTCTGTGTGTGGAGGCCCTCGGGTGCCATCCTGGAGAGGCTTATCAGGATCTAATTGTGATTGGCAAGAGGATGGAAGTTGTGATTAAATCTGGACTTGAGTCCCGAACACTTGGGTGGCTGGCTTAATGAACTGAGCTGCGAGGGGTCACACCCAGGGTAATGGGGATCTATCAGGATTCATCCACACACACTGCTACCTGTGGTGGCCATGGCCACAGACAGAAAATGTCTGTGTGAATACAGTATGTCTATTTTTTATCTTTAAGAATTATAAACTTCAGTAACATGAGTTTACATGCATGCTCTAACATCCCATCCATATTTATTATTATTTTACCCCTAATCTGATTTAATTCATATAATATATTAATATTATGAAAAAGGATAACATAGGCGGTAGGTAGGGATAAGCGGGGTAAAAAGGGACACAACTACAGTACAGTACCATATAATAAAACATAATATTTAGTTGATTATCTGTACTGGTGATTAGACAGTCTACAATAACTGTAAGGGCAGCACGTTCCAAAACTATTTCAAGTACAGACTCAAAAAAAAATAAAGAAAAGTGAAGAAAAGAAAAAAACACACAAACCAAATTTTTTTGTTCTTTCGCCACACATAGACTCATTGCAGACACACGCACACAAACACACAAACACTTACACGTATATGAATATATGGACTCCTTTTCTTCCCCAACCCAACCTAAACTTACATCACATTGCTGGCCTGTGAAAACCATCTTCAAAATGTCAATTTTGGGTAAAGCAGCACAGTTTTAAGCTTTGCGATGAGTCATTTTCAGATAATCCAGTGGGTTTTAAAATGGTTTATTTAGCTTAATAAATAGGATAAAGCAGCAATCCCTTTCTTAAGAAAGCAACACTTCTTTTAGACAGTGAAAATAAGACAGTGCTTATTGTGATTGTTGATTTTTCTTTTTTATTAATTCAAATTAATTCATTCTTTTTTTGTTAAAAAAAAATTAAATTAAGGTTTGAGAGCTGAAAATAGATTGTTAATTCAACCACAGATGTGTTCACAATGTTCAAGACCACTTATCTTTAGCCACCTCTGGCTCTGCTGTAGTGTGACTACTCCAAAGCCAGTAGCCATACATCACTGGTATGGGTATGCGTGTAACTATAAATACAACTCTGCTGAAGACGGGAGAAGTGATTATAAATGTGCAAAAAGATCTCCAAGTTGCCTTTGCTCGAAATGCATGCCAACAAAATTAAATCCGTCATGTCTTTTGCACTTGCGAGATCAAGACCAAAACCCCCACCGTCACCACCCCTTTCCACTGCTCTCTTCCTCTTCCTCCATCCTCCTTTACATTTCTTGCTCTTTTCTCCTCCATGCCTTCTAACTTAACTCCCTCCTCCCTTTTGCAAATCTTCTGTCTCCTCTGGGTGATGCCAGATAATGACTTGTCATGTAAGCTACCATGTGTGTACGTGAATCTGTTCATGTGTGGATGTGCGTGCGTTTTACTTCCTGCGTCCTACCCCACCCACCATCTCTGCAGATCATGTCCTCGCTGCCTTCTTCCTGCTTCCTCTCTTTGACAGTTCTCTCTCCTTTGGAACGCTTCCATTGCAAGAAGCTGAAAAGACTGTTTGGATGTCTTATGTAATTGTGCGGATCACTGTGGCGCCGAGGTATCATGTGTGAAGTCAACTAGCTCAAAGACTGAGGCTGATTTGACGTTGCGATTCTCTGTTGTTCTTCTTTCTTGAGTTGATGGAGCTCATTAATTGCCTACATTTCATCAAACAGGGGCCTTGCTTTTACTGTCACAGCTGTAGCTGCCGGGAGAGTGAATTAATTTCATTTTCATGTTGTTGTCTAGCATTGTCATGTGTATTGTCTTCTATACAGCTGCACTGACTTCTTTATGGGGACGATAAAGAATATTCTTTTTTTAAACCAGTATAAAAATAAAATAATTGTGCTCTGCCTCATGAAATATTGCAGTTGCAACATCTGTGCCGGCATTGTGTGTGTAGGTCCTTGTCGAGGATATGACTTAAGAAAGTTGTTAAGTTTAATTTAAATGTGACACCCATAGTGATGGCCATATAGTGTAGTCTTTATGCTACTTCTGCTTTTAATCACTTCAACTTCAAAATGTTGATCTCAATTGTGTTACTAGTACTACTTTGCAATAGTTGATATACTGATACTGATAAAGCTGAAATCATTTCATATTTGTGTAACAAGCGCAACGTGTTCTTGAGCTGCTTCATATAGTTTGGTAAAAGTGATGATAATTCGACAAGAAGAGTCTACAGCAATGCTCATGACAAATGTCAAACTTAGGATGGAAGATGGATGGCCCGAGGAAAAGTAAGAGGATCTCAAGAGCCATTACATCCCCAGGGAACCCTAGCGATCTGTAGAAAATGTTGGTTCCAAATCATCCAGTCAGTGTTGAAAATGAAAATTCAGATCTGCTGGTGGTTCTAAAGGAAATGTCAGAGGAACATGAATTCTAGACCAAATTTCATAGCAATCCATCCAAACGCTGTTGAGATAGTTTAGTGGTGGACCGGCTGATGACCCTATCAGACCAACATTGCCATCTCTGGAGCCATAACGCTAGCGTGGCAAAAAAAAAGAAGCTAGTACTAAATGTATCAGTGGTATTACCCTGAGGAATGAGTTTATCTAGTCTTGACTCTCAATTCAAGTTCCCCACACAGAATGAACAAATTGTGCACTTCCTATGTTTAATATTGGGATATGAATCTCAAGTATTTAAAATGATAGACACACTAGTCCGTAGAGCATTGCTAAAGAGTATCAGAGTTTTAAACAAGTTGGTTTCAGCTGCAAGTATTCTAGGTGTTTTTGCTGTCTTTCCAAATATTATGTGAGAGAACTTGAGGACATGGTGGTCTCAGTCCCCCCAATAAAGCAGGAGTCGACTCCTTTCCTTCTATTCTAAAACAAATTGCTCCAAGCGTCCCTGTGGCTTAGCCTCCAGAGTGCAGTGCCAGGGGTACCACGTACATTGCCACTCTTAAACACAGCAAAACTAAGCAAAGCAAAAACCAAACCGAACCAAACCTCTTTAACACAAGAAAATATTCCTCTTTGATTTGGCCTGGAGGGATCTGCAGAAAAGGTTAGAAAATATTACAGGATTCACAGCTCCGACAAGGAAGTTTCCAACAAGCACAACTATACATTTCGTCCAAAAACTAACATCTGTACTTTTGCTCAGAATAAAAATTGCATAGGATTTTTTAGACAGTTTTTATACATGCATATATGTAAGATGTAGTCCAATCTCTTCACTGTCATCCCGTGAAGAAATTGGACTGTGAAGAGAGGAAACAGTAATCCTGTTTCCTGGAATAGCCTCATGAATAGTGGGAAAAATCTAAAACTGGCAGGTGTCCTCAGAAACAAACCCAATGCTTGTACCAGTAGCGCTATGATTTATCATCACCCTTATCAGCTTCTGTTGTCGAGCAGTTGTCAGCTTGGCCAGCCAAATGGCTGATTAAAATGTATGTGTGGCCACCCTAGAGTGAAATGAAAGCTCTGACTGTGGCAGAAGATGGATTCATGTGGCAGAGCGTACGGCTTAATACAACGTAATGTTATTGACATGCTCCTATGCTTTATTATTT